ACTAATATTACTACTGCGACTACTACTACTACTACTACTACTACTACTACTACTACTGCTACTACTACTACTACTACTACCACTACTACTACAACTACTACTACTACTACTACTGCTAACACTACTACGACGACGACGACGACGACGACGACGACTACTACTACTACTACTACTACTACGACACAACTACGAATATACTACTACTACTACTACTACGACGACGACGACGACGACGACGACTACTACTACTACTACGACAACTAATTCTACTACGACTAGTCCGACGACGACGACTACTACAACTACGACTACTACTACGACTACTGCTACTAGTAACTACCAACTACCACGACGCGTACGACTATAACATTCGACGAGCTCTTCGTAAAGTTGATTGCTACTACTGCGCTGCCACGTTGACAGGCAGCCCTTTCGCCTGAAATTGTTATGGTGGCCCCTCCTGCGTTTCCTCCGTCTTCTGTTTCTCCAGCGGCGAGCACCTCCTCTCCTCATTATCCAAATCCTCCACCTGTTCCTCCAGCTATATCCTCCCGCTCCTGTCTCTCTCTCTCTCTCTCTCTCTCTTTCTGCCTCTATGCCACTCTCTTTCTCCCTCTCTCTCTCTCTATCTCTCCCTCCATTCTCCCCTTCTCTCTCTCTCTCTCTCTCTCTCTCTCTCTCCGTCCCTGCATATACCAATACATACATACATTTGTATAGAAAGAAAAAGAGGGATATAAGATCGCCATCCTCACCCTCATCGCCATCAGCTTGACAAACACCACCATTGCCATCATTCACATCATCGCCATCCGCATCCTCCTATTACTCTTGTTCGTCGCCATCATCACCATCATGATCATTATCATCATCATCATCATCATCATCATCATCATCATCATCATCATCATCATTATCATCATCAGCATCATCATCATTATCATCATCACATCATCATCCCCAGCATCATCATCATCATCATCATCATCATCATCATCATCCCCAGCATCATCATCATCATCCCCAGCATCATCATCACCACCGCCACCAAAACCACCATCACCATCACCATCACCATGGTCATCACCATCACCATCACCATCACCATCACCATCACCATCACCATCACCATCACCATCACCATCACCATCACCGTCGTCATCACCGTCGTCATCATCAGCAACAGCAGTATCATCATCATCGTCGTCATCATCAGCAACAGCAGCATCACCAAACTCATCTGAATCGTCATCAGCAGACTCCCTCTTTTCCCTCCCGGGTGTGGGGAAAAGGGGGGAGGGAGGAAGAGGAGGAGGGGCGACGGAGGAAGAGGAGGGAGGAGGAGGAGGAGCAGGAGGAGGGAGGAGGAGGAGGGAGGAGGAGGAGGAGGGACGAAGGAGAAAGGAGGAAAAAACGAGGAGGGAGAAGGAGGAACGGGGGGGAAGGGGCGGAGGAAGGAGCGAGGTATTGGCCAGGAGGAGCGAGGGACCAGGGAGGCACTAGAAAGCGGGCACAGAGGAAAGGAAGAGGGGAGGGGAGAGCGGCAGGAAGGGGAGGGGAGGGGAGGGAGGGAGGAAGGGAAGAGGCCAGAAGGGAGGCAGGGAGGGAGTGTAGAGGGGGAGGCAGGAGGCGAGGGAGGGAGGGAGGGGGAGAAGGGCAGGGAGGAGGCAGGCAAGGAGGGGGAGGGAAGGAGGAGGCGCCAGGACCAGTGCGCCTCGAATTCAGGCGGCGGGCGAGGCCGCTCTCCGAAGAAGACGTTCCTAGCCCCCGGACACCTTCTGGCCACTTTGGAAGTTCCCTCCCTGGTTGGGCGTCGCTTATTTGGGGGGGGGGGCGATGCATGGGGTGGGGGGGCAGAAAAGTGCAATTATCGGGCCCTGAAGGCACCCTTTTTGGCCCTAAAGGTCCGCTTCAGGGGCCCGGATGGGGCCCCTTTTCTGCAGCCCTCGCCGCCCGCCCATCCCGGGCCCCTCCCCCATCACGCGACGCCCGACCTGGGTGCCGGCCCGAGCCTCCAGAGCCGTGCCAGGGGGGGAGAAAAGAGAGAGGGAGGGAGGGAGGAGGGAGGGAACGGAGGGAAGAGGGAGGGAGGGAAGGGCGAGGGAGGGAGGGAAGGGGGGAGGGAGGAAGGGAGGAAGGATTGAGGAAGGGGAAGGAGGGGGGAGGGAGGAGGGAGGGAGGGATGAGGGAGGGGAAGGGGGAGGGAGGGAGGGAGGGAGGGGAAGGAGGAGGGAGGGGAGGAGAGGGAAGGAGGGAGGGAGGAAGAGGTTGGCCCTCAGAGCTCTGGTCGCGCTTTTGAGCGCCCAGGGGGGCAGGAAACCAGCCCGCCAAGGGCCCCAAGCCTGGCCAGCGGTCCGCCGCGATGCTGGACGAAAGTTGCAATCGGACCTAGGCCCCAAACAGCATCCCTCAAGAACATGAGACCCTCCGCCAGCCAAAACAAACAGAACATCCCAGGGCCCCCTCCCCAGGGTGCACAAGAGCATCCAACAAACACGAAGAACACGAGGGTGCCCTCCCCGGACCAAACTCGATATGATACCTCGGTCCGACTGCGCTCCTGGATGCCCAGGCATAAAACACGCTGAACTAGAAAATGAAACAGAACGAGCATGTTCGGCAGTGTTCAGCCTCAGGAGGCCGTTTTCGGGCCTCGGGGCGTACAACTAAACTACCCGCGAAGAAGCAAGTCCGCCCTGGGTGAGGGGCCGGAGAGGTCCACCGTGGCGGAGAGAAGCACGACGTCGGAGGCCTGGGGGGTCCCCGTCGGTGTTCGCTCGAAGTCGGTCCCTGGACCCCACCCAAGATGCCGTCCTGGCAAATGTTCTCAGCGCGTCTGGCCGTGGAGGCGAAGAGCCCCGCATGAGAGGCCCCCGAAAAGCAAGAGACATCGAAGTCCTGCGTCGACATCATCCTCCACATCCTTTTCCTCGTGCTCCTCCTCCTCACCATCATCATCATCATCATCATCATCATCATCAACAACAACAACATACTCAGAACCATCATCATCATCATCATCATCATCATCACCATCGTCATGATCATCAACAGCATTATCATCATCATCATCATCATCATCATCATCATCATCATCATCATCATCATCGTCGTCATCGCCATCCAAAGCATCATCAGCATCATCATAATCATCATCATAATCCTTACCATCATCATCAACATCATCATCAACATCAACATCATCTCCGTCATCATCATCACCAGCAGCATCGACACCGTCATCACCACCACCATCAACATCAACATCAACACCACCACCTTCATCACCACAACAACAATCATCACCACCGTCATCATCATCAGCAGCATCATCACGATCAGAAACAGCATCCTCCTGATCATTACCAACATAAACCAAACAAAAAACATAATCATCGCCATCATCACCATACGTATCGTCATCAGCGGCATCATCATCATCACCACCATAAGAATCATCATCAGCATCATCACCATCATCATCATCATCATCATCACCATCAGCATCATCATCATCCTCATCCCCATCATCATCAGCAGCATCATCATTGTCGTCGCCGTCGCCAGCATCATCAGCATCATCATTATCACCGTCATCGCCGTTGCCATGGACATCGTCATCGTCATCGTCATCGTCATCATCATCAGCATCAGTACCCGCATCATCAGCATCATCATGATCGTCGTCGTCATCGTCATCATCATCACAAGCATCACAATCTTCAGTATCATCATCATCATCGTCATCGTCATCATCATCATCACCACCAATACTAGCATCACCATCCTCATGCGCATCATCATCACCAGCATCATCATAATATCATCATAATCATCATAATCTTCTTCATCACTGCATCATTACCATCATCGGCACTATCATCGTCAGCATCATCGTCAGCATCAGCAACATTAACATTAACATCGCCATCATCAGGATCATCATCATCATCAGCAGCAGCAGCATCAGCATCGCCTTGATCATCAACATCGTGTTCATGATCAGGAGCATCATCATCATCATCATCATCATCATCATCACCATCAGAATCGTCACCGCTATCATCATCCCCATGATCAAGATCATCATCATCAGAATAATCATCCTCATCATCACCATCATAATCACCATGATCACCACCATCAGCAGCAGCTGCATCTCCATCACCACCATCAACACCATCATCATCGTCATCATCATCGTCAGCATCATCATCATCATCATCATCATCAGCATCAGCATCAGCATCAGCATCAGCATCAGCATCAGCATCATCATCATCATCATCATCATCATCATCATCATCATCATCATCATCATCATCATCATCATCATCCACCTCCTCCGCCTCCTCCGCCTCCCAGGAGGTCTCAGGACGTCTCCAGGCTCCAGGCCTCTGGAGGTCCCCGCAGAGGCATCAAGGGGCAAAACAAACAAGCAAACAAGCTCAAATCACTGTTCCGAATTCCCTACCCTCCCGCCCCTCCTCCTCCTGGAGCGGGCGCTGATACAGTGGGGCGGGCGGTACTCTGCATGGCGCCTCGGATCAGGATGACGCCGAACGCGGGGATGACGTCCTCGAGGGGGGACGATGCGGGGGCACTGGCCCGGAAGGGGAACGGACTTGGACCCAGCGATGCATCGCCGACAGGTCGGCGATGGGTCCTCGACGGCAAGACCGCACGTTCCTGGGCGGGGAGGGGCCAGCAGGCCCTCATCGACAAGGCACGGGCGATCCAGGGCCGATGCGTTCCACCCTGACCCCACATGGTCAGAGGTGTCGCGGCAGCGGCCCCTGAGCGACGCGATGCGCCTCGCAGCCTGATGGCGTGGGGCTCCGCTTCGCGGGGCGGGGGGGGGACAGAAAAGCTCTCAGGGTTGGTTGGGGAACACCGGGCCGTGGCCACCGTGTCGCGCCGGCACGGGGCGGGCCCGAGCCGCCGGCGCGACGCGCCTGGCAAGAAGGCGCCGCACCGTCTGCCCCCTCTGCCGCTGCCACCCCGAGTCCTCCGAGACGACGATCTCGCCCTCGCCAGCGCGGGCCCTCGCAGACCCTGGTCCGTGGGCGCGGTAGCCGAAGAAGAGGAGGAACCTCAGGGCGCGGCCACCGGCGGCCACACGGCGGCCATCCGGCGGGCGTCCTCTGCCTTTGGGCGGCCTCCCGGCGCCCCGCGGGCGCGGCAGGCGAGGAAGAGGCACCCTCAGGCGCCGCGGGCGAGACACCGAGTCGGCAACGGGATCGGAACGCCCATGCGAGCGCAGGTCCCCCTCCTCCATCCTCCTCCCGATCCTGTCATTCCTGCCTCATTCTGCTGATCCTGTTCCACCTCCTCCTCCTCCCCAACCTTATGACACTGATCCTTCTCTTCCTACTCTTCTCCCTCCTCCTTGGCCTCATTTTCCTCCTCCCGGCTCCCCCTCCTCCACAACCTCCTCGTACCTCCTCATACCTCCTCCTCCTCTTCCTCCTCCTCCTCCTCCTCCTCCTCCTCCCCCTCCTCCTGCTCCTCCTCCTCCTCCTCTGCCAATTATTCCTCCTGTTTCTCCTGCTGCTCCTCCTCCTCCTCCTCCTCCTCCTCCTCCTCCTCCTCCTCCCTCCTCCTCCTCCTGTTCCGCGTCTCCTCCCCTCCTCCTCCTCCTCCCCCTCCGCCTCATCTTCTTCCTCCTCCTCCTCCTCCTCCTCCTCCTCCTTCCTCCTCCTCTTTCTGCGGCCGCTTTCCTCGCCTCCTCCTCCTCCTCCTCCTCCTCCTCCTCCTCCTCCTCCTCCAGATCACCCTCGTCGGGTCTTCCTCCTCGATCATGACTCCACCTCCCCCCACTCCCCCTCATCCTCCCTTGTCCTCGAACTCCACCTCATCCGCTCCCTCCTCCGCATCCCCCCCTCTTCCCTCCACCTCCCCATCCCTCATTCCCATCCTTCTTGCTCCTCATCGCCCACGTTACCCTCAACCTCGTCCCCTCTTCCTCCTGTTCCTCGTCATCCGCCTCCAGTCACCACGTGACTCGGCAGAGACTCCAGAGACTCCTTCTCTTCTTCCCCTCCTCCTCGTCCTTCCGAAACTCAACGCAGATCGAGCTTTGGTCGACGGGCCTCGTTAAGATCATGTCGCGTTAGCTTCCAGCTTCCCACAGGGTGCTGGACAAATTGCTGGCCCCTCGGCAAGACGCAGCTGCGGGTAAGATGTCGGGAGGGCAGCGGCAGGTCGAGCATACCATGCCTCCTCGGAATGGCCGTCGGGCAATAGCACAGGCCTCAGGCGCCTGGTTGGGGCGATCCAAGCACCTAAGAAACGCCCTCGGCGAGGCGCAGATGTTGGAAGGCATAAAGAAGGTAGAGAACGTCCAAGAATCAACGAAACACTGCATAAACCAGGATGCACGATGTCGCTTCAGGCACCTGCCCGAGAGAGTTAATGGCGCCACTCGTTCTTGGGACCCTTGGCGTTGATATGGTTGGTTGAGGAGAACAATTATCGTGTTGGGAGGAATGGGTTGGGAGAATGAAGAGCATGAACAATAGCGTTCGGATACGATGCACGATACCTTTTGGCCGCCGACGGGTGACGATATTCCCATGTCTCCCAACCCCATCCTCCCAACCCGATATCTGTCTTCCCGATTGGTCCAAGTCAAAACTGTGTCCGTCACTGGACCGCCTTGGGGCCCTGGGGGGCTTATTGAGAGGCTCCTTGAAGCATCTCGGGTACCACTTTCGGATAGATTGGGGTCTTCATGGGCAACTTGGAATCCTCTTGGACCATGTTTGGGCCCTCTTTGACCCTTTTGGTGCCCTCTTGGGCTGTCTTGGGGTCTTCTAGGGCCGTCTTGGAAGCCTCCTTGGGTCATCTCGGAGGCCATCTTGAGGCCCTCTGGAGCCACCCTGGGGTCCTCTTGAGCTGTGTTCGGGCGCTCGTGGAGGCCAAGTGAGCCGTCTTGGGGCGTTCTCGGAAGCCCCTGGGAGCGTCTTGGGCTGTCGGAAGGCAGAAAAGGCGAGAACGGCGAAATCGCTCAAAACTGCAAAAGGAAATCGCTGACGCTTGCCTCTGGCGGCCCTGTTGGAGGTCTCCTGGGGCGCTCTTGCGAAGGTCGCGTTGGCGCTATATTAAAGCCATTTGGGAGCCATCCTGGGGCGCTCTTGACCATCTTCGGCATCGCTGCAAGGCTTCTGGGGCCGTCCGCGGCGTCAAGAGGAGCGCGGACGGCTTGACTTGGAGGCCCGGGAGCCGTCTGGAAGGTGCCCCGGGGCGGGGGAGGTGGGCGTCTGAAAAATGCCATGGCACAAAAGAAGACAGAGAGAGAGAAAGAAAGAGAGACCTCCTATGTGCCCCTTTGAGGTCGCATTCGGCTGTAAGCCCTGCCCGGTGTCCCGCAAAGGCGCACGATGTCCCGCCCCGAGCCAAGAGCAAAGGGGACAAGACGCAGGGCGCCTTGCCCGGAGGCGAGCCAGGCCCGTAAACGTGCGACCCCGCGGTGGCTTCAGCACCGCTCAACCAAACACACACACACACACACAAGAACACGCACACACACACAAAAAAACAAGAACACACACACACACAATAACACACACAAGAACATGCGCACAAAAACACAAACACATACACAAGAACACACACACACACGCAATAACACACACACACAAGAACACACACACACACAGACACCCTCCGACAGACCCTCATCCTCGTCGTCGCCACGAGGCGGGCCAGGCCTGTCGACGTGCGACCCCGTGGTGGCTTCAGCACCGCTCGGCCGGAGCCTTTGGAAGGCTCCTCACTCCCCCCCCCCCGCAAGACACCCTTCCTCGCCGTTGCCCTGCGCTTCTGCACTTCCGCGCTCCACGAGCGCACCTTCGCCCGCCACAGCGCCCGACCGCCGCGGGGCACGGCGGGGCGCGCCCCGGGGCGCGCGCCCAGCGAGCGAGCGACGAGCGACGAGCGGGCGGCGGCGGCGGCGGCCCCCCGCCGGCAGCGGAGGCAGCAACAGGCAGGCGGCAGCCAGCGGGAGGAAGGAGCTCCCCTCGCCGTCCTCACCCTCCTCGGTGGGGCGGGCGGCCCTGGGGGCGAGGCCCCAGGTTCACGAGCACGCAGCCCAGGACGGAGACGCAGCCTCCATGAGGGTGGGTGGACGGGGCGCGGCGGGAAGGGAGGAAGAGGAGGAGGAGGAGGAGGAAGAGGAGGAGGAGGAGGAGGAGGAAGAGGACGAGGTAAAGGAGGACGCGGAGGAGGAGGCAAGAGGAGGAGGAGGAGGAGGAGGAGGAGGGAGGAGGAGAAAGAGGGGAGGATGACGAGGAGGAGGGGAGGAGGAGGAGGAGGAGGATGAGGAGGAGGGACGGAGGAGGAGCAAAGGAGGAGGACGAGGAGGAGGAGGAGAAGGAGGAGGAGGAGGAAGAGGGAGAATGGATGGAGGGAGGGAGGGAGGGAGGAGGGAGGCTGGTGGAGGGGGGAAGGAGGTTTCTTGACCCGAGGTCGTCGTGGGTCACGGTCTGACGTCGGAGGGGGGGTAACGAACGGGTGGGGATGACGTCGGAGGGCGGGGGAGATAGAGAGGGGAGTAGACTGCTGGAGGGAAAGAAAGGGGAGGTAGCTCCCGCTTTCCCACCCATCCTGTGGTGCTGGGTCCTCGTTTTGTAGAGACAACGCCCCGCGTTCAGTCCGTCCTCCCCCCCATTTCCGCCCCCCAGAATCAGCATCATCATCAGCAGCATAAGAATAATCATAATCAGCAGCATCAGCATTATCATCATCAGCATCATCATCATCATCATCATCAGCATCATCATCATCACCATCATCATCATCAGCAGCATCATTACCATCATCACCATGATCACCATCATCACCATCATCAGCATCATCACCGTCACCATCATCATCATCAGCAGCATCATCATCAGCATCATCATCAACATCAACAACATCAGAGACCTCGCCATCCCCTCGGGGGCTGCAAACTGCGCCACTGTCCCCACATACGCGGGGTCCTGGGAAGCACAGCGGAAGTGGGCGCCACACGCGGATCGCTTCGATACCCTGCCGCTCCCCCGGGGGCTGCGAAAAAGCTGCGAAGTGCGCAACGGCGGAGGTGGGGGCCACGCGGATGACTCCGAGACTTCCCGGCTCCCTCGGGGGCTGCGAGTGGCGCAACGGTCACCACTTTCGCGCAGCTGTCGCCACTTTCGTGGGTTCCTGGGAGGCACGGCGGCGATGAGGACCACGCAGGTCTATGAGTGGCCTCGCTGCTGCCTCGGGGGCTGCGAACCAGTCTCCTGAGCTCCTCGGAAGCACGGCGGAGATGAAGGCTACGCAGATTCATTTGAGGCATCGAAGCTCCTCCGGGTGCTGCAATGTGCGCATCTGTCGCCACGTTCGTGAGTTTCTGCGAGGCGCGCCTCCGGACCTGCAGTGCCCAAACGGAGAACTGCATGAAGCAGCCCATGAAAATGGCGCACGCGCTCGGCCGTGCCAATTTCCTGCGCGACCTAATGAGAGTCGCAAGCGGGTTTCAGGCGAGCGTGCACAGTGGCTGCTACTCTGACGGCGCCGTTGGCGATGCTTGCGGCGAGCGACGGCCAAACGAATACGAAAGGGCGCGCGCCCACATGGCGAGCGGCAGTGTCCCGTCATTCAGCGCGCGGCAGTGTCGCATCGCAAAGCGCAGGGCGCTGGAGCTTCACGTAGCGCATGGCGCCGACCTCAGTGGCCCACTCCCCCCTGCCCCTGAGTTGCCCATCGCCCGCAGCGGCAGCAAGGGCGAACCGAGCAGATGTAGCGCATGGCGTTGTGGCTCTCACCAGTGTTTCTTCCCCTTCATTCTCCATCCTGCTTGTCAGCCTTCCCCTCCCTCTTCCTCCTCCTATACTCCTCTCCCCCGTTCTAGGTTCCCTGTCGTGATTGACACCACCAGACAAAAGTGCTGTCATGGTTGCGCCGTCTCTTTTGCGATTTGAGTGCGCAGGTGTGCGACGCGCGTGGCCCAACACTGTTTGGCGAAGCACCTCAGAGTGCTGCATATCTCGCAACATGTTATTGTGCATCGAGCGTTCATATACGTAGCCGCCTCGCGTGCAAAGGGGGTTGGGTACCTCTCGGGAGATTTCACGTCGCGAGCAAAGTCTGGAACGGTCGGACCTCGGACAGAAGAACATCCTTCAAGGGCATGAGACCTGCCGCCGGCCCAAACACCCCAAATCGTGAGATCACTCGAGGTCACCCCTCCCCTAGGAGGCACAAGGACATCCCACCAAAACCCGAAGAGCAGTAGGGTACCCTCCCCGAACCGACCTCGATCTTATACCTCGCTCCGACCGTACGCACTGTGGCGACTCCTGGAGGCGACAGTAGAAGAAAAAGAAGAAGAAGAAGAAGAAGAAAAAGAAGAAGAGGAGGAAGAAGAAGAGGAAAACACGTAAACAGAAACTTTCGGCGCTCCGCGCGGATTTCTTGGGTTCGCGCTGGACCCCCCCTCCCTGGCGCGCGGAGCGCGCCAGGGGCAACGCCCGAGGCGCCGCCAGGGGGGGGCCCAGCGCGGATCCAAGAAGTCCGCGCGGAGCGCTAAAAGTCTATGGTTCTGTGGCTTTCCCTTCTTCGACGTACGCACGTACGCCCTGTGGCGACTCCCGGAGGCGACAGAGGGCGAGGAGAGGGCACGCAGGAGGACACCGCCACGGTCGGCGCACGAGAGGGGCTCGCGCAGGCCGGCCCCGGCAGGGCTCCGGCAGAAGAGAGCGTGGCGGCCCAGCTCGCGCGAAGGCGGGCGCCCCTGGATCGTCAGCTTCCGCGCGGCGCTCCCGGCGCTTCCTCCTCCTCCTCCTCCTCCTCCTCATCCTCCTCCCTCCTCCTCTCCTTCTCCTCCTCCTCCTACGCTGATCCGCCTCCTTTTTTCTTTTTCCCTTTTCCTCCTGCCTTTCATTCCTCCTCCTCCCTCATCTCCTCCTGATCTTGCTCTGTCTCCTGTTCTGCTCCGACCTCTTGCTCGGCTCCTGATCCTGCTCCTGCTCTGCTCCTCCTCCCCCTCCCCCTACCCCTCCCCCTCTCGCCTTCCTCCTCTCCTCCGCCTCCTCCTCCTCCTCCTCCTCCTTCCTCCCCTCCTCCTCCTCCTCCTCCTCCTTCCTCCTCCGCCTCCCTTTCTCATCCTCCTCCTCCTCCTCCTCCTCCTCCTCCTCCTCCTCCTCCTCCTCCTCCTTCTCCTCCTCTCCGCCTCCTCCTCCTCCTCCCTCCCCCCTCATCCTCCCTCCTCCCTCCGACTCCCCCCTCATCGTCCCTCCTCCCTCCTCCCTCCTCCTCCCTCCTCCCTCCTCCCTCCCTCCTCCTGCTCCGATCGCACGTGCACTGCCCGATCGTCGGCACGTGCCGTCCAGCGCCCGAGAGGGGCCGAGGAGAGGCCGCAGCTCCGCCGAGCGAACGCGCGGGCGGCCGGAGCGCGAGGGCGCCGCCTTCGGTCGGGCGTGCCGCGCGGCATCGGAGGACCCAGTCGGAGCATCGACCGCGAGGAGGATCGAGAAGGCGGATCGAGGATCGAGGATCGAGGCCGAGGGGGATCTCGAGGAGGGTCGAGGGTCGAGGGCTCGGCGCGAGGCGCGGGGGCCTCCTCCGAGGGCTTGGAGCGGCAGACATCGAGTCGGGACGTCGGCGCGGGTCGGGTCGGACCAGGCCGGGACGCGCGTCGGATCGTGACGCAGCGGCACGAGGCCGAGACCGACTCGGATGGGCCGCGCCAGGATGCACAGCAGTGCAAAACAGGCCTCGGGTCGCATCGGATCGTCGGAACATCGGAATCCGCAGCAGCACCCTGGGTTGTACATGAACGCGGGTAGGGTCGCTGCCGTGGAGGCTCAGGCTGAGGGCCCCAGAAGGCAGCGATGCGCAGACGATGTCGCTGCCGTTCTTCTGGGGACAGTCGGGTCAAGCGCCCAAGCCAGGCATGTCATTAAATAAGGCCCGTTTCGACGCACAGCGGCACTGAATTGTTCCCACCGCAGGTGCAATAACTCTGCTCGTGCTCTCCATTCTGAAGGGATGGATCTGTTCATATGACCTGCCCACGTCGCTTGACTCGGCGGGTCAGTCGAGCACACTACTTCCACGGGAACTGGAACTCGTAGACCGCATCGCGCAAGCCAAATCATCTGACCCAACATGTCCTCAGCCTCCTCGCCACTGCTCGCCCAAGCAGACGAAGGGATCCGCCGTTGCTGAGAGGCCGCGAACAACCACTCGAAGAACTGCCAAGGGGTGGGGGAGATGACAGGCGTGAGAAGGGAATGGGAGGAGGGGGGGAAAGTAAGAGAGGGGCACAGAGGGCAGAAGGAGAAGAGGAAGGGGAAGGAGAATGGGCAGGGGAATGGGGAGGGGGAGGGGGAGGGGGGACCTACCCTCCACCACATTCACATGCACCTTACCCTGGTGCCTGGTGCCTTCTCCTCCCGCTGTTCCTCATCCTTCTCTGCATCACCACGATTAACAAGAACATCATCACCATACGCATAACAACCACCGTC